GACCAGGATCTGCCCTTGAGGGGTTTGGCATTTCACAGATGGCGTGGCATCCTGTCGGGCCATCGGCTCAAAGGCCATGGGGCTGGGCTGTTGGCACCTCATTGCCACCTTATTGCTGGGTGCTGTGGAGGGGAGGGAACACGGGGTGCAGAAGGAGGGACTTGGGGTGCTCCTGATGGCTCCACCCAGCACTTCCTGGAGTGATAAAGGCACTGATGGGGACTAAATGTCAGGACCAGCCCTTGTACCAGGCTGTGCACAGCACCTCAAAGCTGTGCGAACTCCTCTGTACCGTGGGCTCCCAGTAACCCAGGGATGGAGCTGTGGGTACATGGCCACCCCTCACCATTATCTCTTCTCCTGCTTCACCCCAGTGCAGGCTCCAGTTAGAAGTCACAACCCGGGGAAACTAAGGCACAACTGCTGCTACAAACCCTTTCATGGCACACAAAGCCAGACATCCCACATTTTATTGCATCCTGTGATCCTGCCCACAACAGGGGGCTGAAGCAGGGCTCAGTGGGGTCTCTCAGCCCACCACCATGAAGGCAGACATGCAGAGGGCCAGGAGAGAGAGTGAGGGCCAAGGGGAGTGTTGGGTGCTGCCAGAGGCCCTACGGGGTGCAGCACAGCGGGGTCTGGCATCATAAGGCTTGAGGCACGCAGCATAAGCAATGGCATGGGCAATGTAGTGCTGCTCCTGCACCCCGTGGAAGAGATGGGCCATGGGGCCCTGAGCGAGCACCATCACGTCCTCCCCGCTGTGGGTCTCCAAGTCAAGGGGGACGGCCGCCTGCTGCCTGTAGTCCTTGTCCTCTGTGGAGAGAGCAGGAGAAATGGTGCTGGGGGCAGCTCTTCTGCCCTTTGCATGAAGCAGCTCCCACCACCCTGGTGTTGGGGCAGTTCCTGCCCAAGTGAACCCCAGAAAGGCACCAGGCCCCCACCCCATCCCTTCTCTTCCAGTAGAATCCTACCCACAGCTGGAAGGCTGGCAGCTGGGCGGCCCCCATCACGGATGCTGTATCCCGGCCCATTGCCATAGAGGATGCTGGTATAGGCTCGCTTGTCCTTTGCTTTCTTAGGAGCCAGCCCTGACATGGGGAAGGGCACTGTCACCCCCTGCACCAGTCAGCAGCCTTCCCAGAACTCCCATGGCCTCCCATGGAGGCACAGCACGGGGTGGGAGCAGGGATGCTCATTTCTCCCTGGGTCCCACCGAAGATGGAGGCTCCTCGCAGCGTGTTGCCCCCGAAGGTGAAGACATGTGAGTGGTCGGCTGTCACCACGGTCAGCGTGTCAGAGGGCTCCGTCAGTTCGCCTGCCCGTGCCACTGCCCGGTCCAGCATGATGGCCTCCGTCAGCGCCTGCTTGGCCCGGCCGCTGTGGTGCCCGTGGTCAATCCTTCCACCTGCACAGGGAATGGGGCCGTCACCACCTTGTTCCCACCTGGCTGCCATGACCCATGTCACAGCCAGGGCCTTGCACTCATCTTCCACAAAGAGGAAGAAGCCGTTGGGGTTCCTGCGCAGGATGCGGATGGCTTTCTCCGTCATTTCCACGATGGAGGGGTCCGTGGTGGCGTTGCGGTTCAGCTCGTACCTCATGTCCTTGGGCTCGAAGAGGCCTGGGGGAGCGGGTTAGGGCTGCTTCGTGCCACCCAGAGTGGGATGGCATTGCTGACATAAAGCCAGCGACGCTCTTACCCATGAGATGGCTCACAGAGGTGTCATCAACCGCATCCAGGCCCTTCTTGTCCCAGACGTAGCGCGCGCCCTGTCAGCAAGGACACAGCGGTGGCAGTGGCACACACACCGTGCCCAGCGCTGCGTCCCCTCTGCACTACCTCCCTGGTGCTGAGCCATTTGGCCACCAGGTCCCGCCCGTCCCTCCTGGTGCCATTCTGCGCCGGGTCGTCTGGGTACTCAGGATCTGGGGTCCACCTGGGGGACATGTAGGTCCTCCCGCCACCCAGGATCACCTGCAGGGAGAGGGGAAGGGCTGCCTCTGGCACAGGGACGCAGCACATAATGATGCAGCCACCACGATGTCCCTGGCTCACGTTGATGTCGGTGTTGTGCACCAGCTGGTAGGCGATGTCCTTGCAGCCGTCCCGCAGGGCCTCCCGAGGCATGTTGGCATCGGCGTACCAGCTGCGGCTGGCCGAGTGTGCATAGGCAGCAGCAGGGGATGCGTGTTGCACCCGCGTGGTGGTCACGATGCCCACCGACTTACCTGCAGCATGGCACAGGGTCTGTGGGGAGCCCACCTGTGCCGTGCTGGGCTCTGCAATGAACGTACCCACCCCATATACCTGCCAGCCGGGCCCGGTGCAGGACGGAGTCCACTTCGTTGCCGAATGCTGTGCGGCATTTGCCGTAGACGGCCGCCCCGCTCAGCCCCAGCGTCTTGGCATTGGCCTTCACCCCACACAGGTAGGCCGTGCCTGTGCCAGCGCTGTCGGGCACCTGCCGGTCGATGGTGTAGGTCTGTGGGCAAGCTGGGGTCAGTGGGGCTGTGGGCAGCACTGTGCCCCCTCAGCACCGCCCCACTCACCTTGGCCAGGGCCACGTGGGGAAATGTCTCCATGGCCAAGACGCTCTCCTCACCCGAGCTGCCGGCCAGTTGCCCCTTGTAGATCCGGGCTGCTGACACCGTGGGCAGCCCCATGCCTATGGCGAGAGGTGACAAACAGCTGTGACTGGAGACGGTCCTGCCCTCCCTTTCCAGGGCCATGCTACCAGGGGAAGAGGGACCCACCAGCTGCTGGAGGACAGCTTTGTTCCCAGCGTGCTGAAAACAGTGACATGGGAAACGGCAGCACCCACGCAGCACTCACCATCACCCATGAAGAGGATGATGTTTTTGGCTCGCTGTGCCACTGGCTGCAAGGCCAGGGCAGCTTCCAGCCTCCTCCTGGCCCCTTCGTTCCAGTAGTGTGGGGTCTTCTCAGCATCTGGATGTCAGAGCAGAGCTGGGGGTGTGCAGGGCCCCAGAGCAGCCCCAGAGCTCCCACCCCAACATGTCCCCCGTTGAGCTCTCACCTGAGGTTGCAATGGCAGTGAGCGGGGCAAGGAAAAGAAGGAGGAAGCAGATCCTGGGAGAGAGCAGCCATCCCATGCTGCCCAGCCCACGTTCCTTCCTGATGGCTGCCTGTGTGCAAGGCTGGGGGGGACAAAGCCCTTTATGCCCTGCCCTGTCCGGCCAGAGGGCTGAGCCCCTGCTGTGGGTGAGACGATGGGCTGATAACATTCAGGGACATCTTCCAGCCCTGCCCTCTCAGTGTCCCCAGCCCTCCCCAGGGCCATCCCTTCCCCCCCAAGGTGAGGTAGGACCTCCAGCCTATTCCTGGGGAGTGGGGTTGCCCTGAGGCACTCAGTGTCCCTGAGGCTGTACGAGTACCTGGGGGTCCATAGCTCCACACCTGCAGAGACCCCGGGAACAGGTGGGGAGTGCGTAGGTCAAAGGGCTGTTTTTGCAGATATGCTGGGCTGGGCTGGATTGAGCTTGTTTCCCCAGTGAAAAAACACAAGAAGAGTATGCTGGAATGAGGGGTAAGGGAGGACAGCTTGCTGTTGTGTCAGTGTCCTCAGGTTCCCTCTCCCAAGGGACAGGGTGATGCAGTGCCTTCTGTGTCCACGAGGCAGGAGAGAGATGGAAACCCACAGAGGAATAGGCTGCTGTGCCCACATTCAGGGAGAAGTGACATCCCACGTGAGTGGACAGCAGGGCCATGGCACACAGACGCAACTGGAAGGATGCCACCAGCCCATCCCCTGGGGACTGCAGAGAACTGCAACATCTCCCAGCTCTTGGCATGCATGTAGTACCCAGCTCTGACCCATCCCAGGGCCCAATCCCTGGTGCTGAGCCAGGCAGCCCAGGCTCAGCCAGGTCCCTGCTGCAGTGCACGGCAGTTGTACCCATGCCAGGGCCACAGCTGTCACCACCAACAACACAGAGCAAAGCACAGTGCTCACCCTCCCTGCATGCCAGCACAATGGATCCATTCCCTCTTGCCAGAAGCCCATCCCAGCCCCACAGAGGTGATGACACAGACGCTGCCAGAGCACCGTAGGGACAGTGGAGCAGACAGATGAAACACTCTGTGAAGGACTGAGGCAGGGTGCTTCTCTCCACATAGAAGAGAGAAGTGAGGACATGCACCATGCTCCTCAGTGTTGGGTGGGCACGGAGCCAGGGACAGTCCTGTCTGTGGCTGAAGGGTCCTGGTGTGGGGTTAGGCTGGAGGCCAGGCTGGGGCAGACGCCCGGTGCTTGTCAGTGGTGGCTCAGACTGGGGGATTAGCGGAAGCAGCGCAGGTTGGGAGCACGTGCATCCCCCTGACCTCCACCTTCTGCCGAGCAAACAGAAAGGCTGGGATTACACAAGGCCCTGGGAGGCACAGGGCAGCCTGGGAGATAAGTTATGGTCGGATTCCTGCCTGGGTAACAAGGCAAAATGAAACCTGCGCACAGTCCCCATCACGGCTGCTGACCTGGATTTATTTCATGATACGTGGCCCAGCTGAGAGTCCTTCTGAGAGGCCTGGTCAGCCCACCCAGCCTAAAGCAGCCCCTCCGCTCTCGGGGACATCAGTCTCCATGTAGCCCCCACCACAGGCACCCCCAGTGGCAAGGGACGGGCACCCACTGCCTCGTAAAGGAAAAAAAATAAACCATAAAGCTAAAAATATCTGCCAGTAGAAATGCCCCATCTGGGGCAACCCCGATCCCTGGGTTAAAATCCAAACCAGAAAGAAAATGATGTCAATTTTAAAATTCAAATCCCCAAACTCCTGGCGGGTCCCCTCTGTCCCCGTGGGTGCTGGTGCGGCGCTGGTGACAAAGTGTCAGAGCTGTGGCTGGGCGCGCTCACTTCTCAGTGCTGGGCCTCTTGAGCAGAGCGCTGTATTTCAGGGGAACCCCGTCCGACTTCAGCACCACCTCCACCAGTGTGAAAATGGTGATCTCCTGCAGCAAGGACACACAGAGGGGAGAGGGGATTTTCAGCAGGTTGCCATTACAGCAGGGTTTAGGCTGAGTCGCGTTTTCTCAGTATCCTGTAATGAGGGAATGACCGCTGGTGCTCGCACAGCGAAAGGAGACCTGGGAAGGGATTGGATAAGGGATACGCAAGGGAATAAAGACTGCAGAAAATCAATGTCTGCTGCTCAGGAATGCACGCTGCCTGCCGGCCCCCAGATCAATCACTTCATGCAATGATGCAGTGTAGGGACATAAATCATCCATCAGCACTGCACCCAACACAGGGCAACAAGATGGCTGGGACAGTTGACATGGACACGTGTGGTGCTGGGGATCATGCCTTGGTGTGTGCCCTCAGCCCCTTCTCACTGTCGCCAAGGTCTGGCAGGGCCATCCTTCTGGGCTTTTAGGGAGCAGGAGCAGGCAGAAAGCCTCTCGGAATAACCCAGTCCAACCCTTTTTGGTCCTCTCGCACCTGCTGCTCCACATTCATCACTTTGAGCAGGAAAATCTCACCGAGATTTAAATGCATCAAAGCACTCAGTGAGGAGCAAAGCAGAGGGAAGCCATTCTGCAGCCATCCTGTGCTCAGCTCTGTGCTCCAGGCTCTGGGATGTGCTTGAGGAGAGCTCAGAGCTGCTCCTAGGGGGAAGGCTCTGATGTTTTCTTAGGAGGTGTGGAGGAGTTTCCTCCATTGCTGAGTGTTTGCTTAACCAAAACGTGCTCTGCTCATGCTGGGGGCTTCGTTTTTCAATGCAGGTTCCTGCTAGGGTGTAAGTGATACCCACTCCTGCAAGGAAGGAGGAACCAAGGCCACTTCAGGATGCATGCAGAGGCTTCTGTGAGCCAAGTGCAGCTCAAGAGGAGAAAGCCTGCAGCAGCCCCGGGAAGCTCTGCTCTGACCCTCCTGAGCTGAGCAACATTTCCCCCGGGCAAGAAGGGATCTTCCAGGTCAGCTCTATCAGGAGTAATACTCTCCCAGAACAGAGCTCTCAGTGCGAGGACAGGGTTGGATTGAGCCCTCCCAACCCCGCCCAGGCACCAGGCAGAGATCACAGCAATCAACACAGCTGTGATTTTACAGCCACGCCAGATAAACGTTGGCAGAGAGGCACCACTTAATCAAGCCAGACAAATGCGATTGCTCCCTCTGATTGAGTTACCAAGTTAATAGATGACAGGGACACAAGAGAGAGATTTCTAGATGCTGTTAAACCATTTGATGCTGCATCTCAGGAAGTCTGATTTAAAAAAAAAAAATCCTCCTAAATGAGTCTCAGCCCTGTCACATGGATGGAAACCTGAAGGCAGGGCTGTGTCAGCAAGAGGGGCAAGAAATACCAGGATGGGGGGAAGGGGCTAAGCAGGAGCTGCCTTAGGCCTGATCTTACTTAACATCTTAATTGATGATCTGGAAGAAGGAAGTAAACAGCAAGTTAATTAAATTCAGGAGGAAACTGGATTGGGAGGCAGTGCACATAGCGGGCAGGGCAGAGTCTGAAGGCAGTGGTGGGGTCAGGCGTGGGGGCAGCGATGGGATGGAGTAGGGCTGGGTGCTGGGAGGAGACGTGGAGGCTGGGATCGGGCTCCCTGGAGGGGGGACAGAGATGGACAACAGGATCTGATCACCAGCAAGGCATCGTGTCTCCCAGATCCATCCCTGTGTAGATTACGGGATGGATCCATAGGGTTATGAGTCCATCCTGTGCTGTGGGGTCTTACCTGGGACACAGATTCCTGCTCTGGACTCTCTGGCTCCCACATGAGCGTCAGCTCTGGCTTCCTCCCCACCTTCTGGAAATGGAAGCCCAGCAAGGGCAGTGCCTGCAGACAAGGAGATGTTGGGAGCAGCCTGTGGCCCCTGGCACCCCCAGCCCCACTCCCTGCTTTGACTGCGGATGGTGATGACACTGCTTTTGCATAGAGCCCTCTGCAGCTCTGTAACAACCAGGATGCAGCAGCCCATGTGTCTGAGCTAAGTGAGTAAATCAGGGGTGGCTGCTATACACAAACAGCTCATAGATCATGCTATATGTCCTGCTTAAAGATGTCACTGCCAGCCATATAACCAGGTTATTGTGAGAAGCTGCTGTCACTAACCGCAGGTGCTGGCCTACGGCAGTGCTGTCACAGCCCCAGATACACCACGTGATTAAATGAAATGGAAGCCAGCCCCTTTCTGTTTCCTTGCTTCAGCTCCATGTTGATCTCTGTCCCCACAAATCTGCCTTCATTTCCTTTTAAAGAGACAAATTACCCACAGCATGTAGTGGGGAGAGTTGGTCCTCAGGGACCAGGCTGCTCTGGGCCCCCAAGCCCCTCCAGGGACCTGAGGGACACCCAGGCTGTGTTCAGTGTGCTGAGGCAGCGAGCAAACTGGCAGTGTTAGGAGCACTTACATTGCAGTAGATTCGCTTCTGGACTCCAAACTTCAGCACCAGGACATCAAAGGCCTCGTTCAGGACACCCATCACCATGGCCTCGGACTCCAGAGGACCGCACTCCTGTTAGGAGACAATGCTCTCAGACATATGATCTCATTTTTGAGTCATCTTGTGCAGAGCCAGGAGTTGGACTCTATGATCCTTATGGGGTCCCTTCCAACTTGGGATATTCTATCACTTCTGATCCTACACCAGCATGCCCAAGGGGAGCCCTGTCTCACCGTGCTGGCGACTACAGGTCCTGAAGCTCAGGGACGGTCCCAGTGCATTCCCTTCTCTACCCCAGACTGAGCACTCATGGGGAAATTCGAGAGACCCCTCAGGAGAAGACACCACTGCTCCTACCCTGACGAAGATGGCAAAGAAGAGGTCGGTGCTGAGCTCCTGCACCCTCTTGGAAGCCATCTTCCTGTCATTGCAGTGTTCTGCTTGTCGCTGGATGGCCTCCTTCTCCATCTTGATGGGAGAGCTGATGCCTAGGAAGGAGATGAGTGACAAAGACAGGTTCACACTCTCTTACTCCAGAGATACCCCTCAGCAGCCCGATGCCCAGCTCCCCCCATGCACATTGAGGACACCCACGTGCCAAGGAGCTGCCTGGTGAGATGCAGATCCCAAGCACTCAACGCAGGAACCCAGGAGCCCCACCTGCATGGGACTCACAGCACCCACCGAGCGACGCGGAGAG